AAAAAAAAAAAAGAGAAAAGAAAAAAAAACCAACTTAATGTATCACTTAGAAACTAAAAAAAAAATTAATTATTCTTGTTTTGCATAAACATATTTAAGATCATAACAATACTCTCTAATTTTTATACCTAAAACAGTGACAGCAACGATAATGTAGACAAATAAAACTTGTCTTCAGTACACAAGAATAATGACCCGTTTACTTAAAATGTAAAAAATTTTTGCTTTTCTATTCTCTACCATGACTGTTACAAAAAAGCATCATTTAAAGTTGACTTTAAAACAAAATAAAGAAGAAAAGAAAAATTAAAACAATAGCATTTCATGCGTTAGTAGTTGTACGATCAAAAAAAACCCGTCAAATTTCCTTCTTTTTTTCCAACACTATTCAATCTTGTTTCTCACTCTGTGAACTAGACGACTTTTTGGAGCTTCTATTTGCTTCCTCCTTTTTTAAATCATCTGCTGAATGCGCTTCGTGCAAAGTTTTAACAAAATGAATTCCGGCTTTACGAGCAGCTCTTCCAAAAATGGCTCTAGGTCCTAGATCATATAACTGTAATGCAGCAAGGGTAGTATGTCCTGTAGCATAAAGAGCTCTATGAGTTGTTAAAGACGCTTCATCACCATACCTGTAAATACTCAAAACCTGTTATTTTTAACTTCTAGTCTTTTACGCTCAAAAGAATTACCACCTTACCGATAAATTATTGTAAAGTAATAAAAAAACAACAACAAAATAGTTATTTACTTCTGTCTTACGGTCTCGACTGTTTCGTTTGCAATATTTTTACACAAAGTTTTTGAAGCATCCTCCAAAGCTAACCACACTGTACCAACGCCAGCTATTCCACCCGCTAGGATCGTTATTGTACCGCTGACAAGTCTTCCCCCTTTTGAATCCCCAAGAGTTTTTTCTGCACCAGACGCCAACTTTTTACCAATAGCAATTCCCATGTCTCCAATTTTTTCCACTGAAAAATTACTATTTATAAATTATGGGAGTAAAACTGTGTCAGTAGTGCATAGTTTATATAAATAATTTTCAACTTCAACAATTTCTGTAACAATCAACCCCCGTAAAATACAGCTTTTGGTAATGAGCAATGATGTAAAACAGTTGCGAAACTTCAATATCCAAGGTAAAAAAATGAACAAGTGAAAGGTCTCGAAAAATTTATAAAGAAACAGTTTTTTAGACAACGTAAGATTTAAAACTACAGTTTTGAAAATCTGACATTGAACTAAGCAGCATAAACTGAGATAAAATCCTTATATAAAACATTCAAATTGGATAGTTTGATTCAATTCCAAATAAGGATCAAAATTTACTAAGAAAACACTTACACAGATATCTGGTGCACTTGGCCACAACTTTACTACCCCCATGAACGCAGTAAACACCAGTACGAATCAGTGGGTTTACACGCATTGGCTGCTCATTTGGCGTCATTGACGACCGAAACCTCGTCGTACGTTCAGAAATCATTTCTGATGTCTTTTCCGCGGCAAAATTTACTCCCCACGCGATGTTTTCACTACCTGAAATTTAAAACTTAACACATAACTACAGTTCACGCCAAAGCATCTAAAAAAAGTTTCATATTTTGAAAAAACTTGTTTCAATTGCGGTTTATTTACAAAACATCAATTTAAGCAAACTAATAATAATGCATATTATGCCATAATAAAATTACCTTGAACAAGTAATCCAGCAATTTTTTCACTCAGTCTTTTCTTCTCTTCTTTACTCAATTCTTTAGAAATTTCTTGATCACGAACCTCAGCAAAACACTCTAGTATTTTAACAAAATTTGCTTCAACTTCACTTCCCAAATTTGATGGAAGAAGCAAGCCGACAAACAAATCTAGAAAATGCCAGTGTTTAGTGTGAGCCAGTAGGAATAGCAGAGAACTATAGAAAAGGTGAAAAAAACAACTTTGAAGCCAATTTGATAAAACACTGACTTGGATGATCGGGCGTAGGATTCGGCATCACGTAGGCACCAAACTCATTTTTTAAAATGGGAATATTACCAGATTTCAGAGGATAAATCCAAGGTCCAACCTAAACTGGTCCTTCTGATAGTATATACAGTAACAAAAGTCACAAAGTATACTAACATTACCTTCATGAAGGCATCAGCATTTGGGGGTCCCGAACCTTCAATCTGTTTCGGCAATTCAAATATTTCAAGAGATGAAGGTACCGTCGGTACAGTAGTGTCACCTCCCTAAAACTTAAGATTATCTTGAACTTCAGTAACTGTTCAAAAGAATTTTTCACCAACTACTTCAATAAAAAGGTATACTGTACCTCTATCATGAAAAGCTGAACTCCATTCGGAATAAGAAAAATTAGTTCGGCTTCTGGAAAAGATGTCGTCTGAAGATGTTCCCTAATATCATTTGTTAACTAAAATAGAAACTATAAGTTTGTATAAATTTTAAGTGTCACAATAATAAAAATATCAAACCAAAAAGGAATTCAAAAGTAACAAAAGAAATAGAACCAACATTTTCCTTCAGCAGAATTTTGGATTCATTTTTCTCGTTACAGATTTGTGGAGAAGATCCTTTCAAAGAATTTAACCTTTCCTTCACTTTTTCTTTTGTCTCGAGCATGTTCTTGTATTTTTCATTAGTTTCACATCCTTTTTGCTTCTCTGCCAATTTGAGAACTTCCAAGCCTAACTTATACATGTGACAAGCGCTCTCCTAAAGTAAAAGCCATATCACATCCAAGGAAACCCAACAATCACCGCACATACGAATAAATTCTATAAAATTTCAATAATTTCATTACCAATGACAAGTTTTATAAACCTGTCAGGCACAAATCTCAAAAGTAAAAACATGCCTCAATTTCTGAATTTTGAAATAATAAATTACACATAAAAGAATCATTCGGTAAAAGAAAAAGTAAATTCAATAAAATTTTTCAGGATTATTTCTAAACTGGTAATAGGCAAGAATGTTCAGATTAGCTAAGTGGAGTAATCGTAGTGTTCTACAAAACCCATATCAAAAAAATGAAACTATAATCTTGTTCGCTGAAGAAAGAAGATACTATGATGAAAATTTCTTAAGTATGAAAGATCTAGTCTTCTCCCAAAACTATTTGTTGCTCAAAAAATTAAACTGATGAGTTGTTTCGTCAAAAATTTTTTTCAAAATTTTTAAAATTCAGCTACAGTAAACTTCAAAAAACTGCCATTAAACTACCTCGTCATTTGCCTCATCACAGCATAGGCCCTGTTCGAAATATGCAAAGCTTTCAGCGAGAAGATCGTCAATATAAGCCTGATCCTTTAACGCCATAACAATACTTGGAGAATCTAAACAAATTAAAACATTCATTGTACCGTCAAAAACCGTC